TTATAATGCATTATAAAAGTATTTTATACACCTTATAATGCATTGTATGGTCTTGTTATAATACACTATAACACATATCTATTAATTGAACACAACTTTAGAAATTAAAATGCATTAAATCGCATGACAAATATCAAGGAATTTGCAGTATATTTTAAATTCACCCCTATATGTTCACTTAATGGTGATATTGTGATAAAAGAATACTAACCAATGCAGCTTCTGTCTATAAAATTCTGAGTTTAATATTATATCCAATATATTATGCCATATACAACAGGGATATGAACATTTACGACATAGTTGTAATGACCCTCGCCTCTTCTCTTTGTCTCTCAAGGTGATTCATCGGGGACATGCGGTGACCCAGGCACACCGTCCCACAGCAGCCGAGATGAGAGTGACTTTCGGATTCGCAGTAAAGTGCACTTCAGGTGCTCGCTGGGATATGAGCTTTTTGGCTCGGCAGAAAGGATGTGTTTCCCCAACGGCACATGGTCCGGTTCTCAACCGTCCTGCAAACGTAAGCGCCTGCAGCGTCTGACATGATACAGCATCTCTGAAACTGCCCAACTCACACTTCACACACTCTTCTGAATTCACTGGGTGAACAGGACATTGCAGACCAAAGCTAGTCAGTAGTTTTCACAAGTCATCGGTTAATCTGAGACTTTGTACAAACTGCACACAAATATGGTTTGGTTGTCAAAGCCGATATTTAGAGCCGACTGTCATTTTGCATGTGATGAATCCAATTGTTCAGATTTGAGTTAGTTGAGTTAGATGCTGCAACTATACCATCTGTTTCAAACATAATTTTTTTTTCTCAAATTCTGATCATACTTTCATTTGATCTTTTTGCATTTGATGGCCATTCAAACTGACCATTGTATTCCGGTGAAATCATTTTTCAATCAAATTATTATTTACTGTTCTGAAGTTTCAGGTCAGACTAAATATGGGCTTTGTTTACAGTAGCCATGTTTACATGGACACAATCAGATTGAAATCAATATGATTGATGAATCCGATCAAGGTGTTTACATGAATGATAAATAAAGTGATCGGGTTGATGTGCGCGTTTATATGTGACAAGATTAAAATCGGAATTGATTTTTTGACATGCGCACACTGCACGAATATGCCACTATTCACGCATAACCATAACTATTCTCCCCTATTGGTTCTGTATTTGTTTTAAACAACAGACTTTTTTTATCCGTCTTTTTAATTTTTATCCGTCTCTGGTCATGATTTGGGGACGATGAGCATGAACCGTTTTGCCGTGCTGATTGTATTTATCACGCAGTAAAACCCCGCGCCCAAAAGTCGCGTGTGGATGAGAATGTAAAACAAGCACTGGTGTGACGTTGTCCTGCTTCACTTCACAGACATGGAGTGAAATGAGAATTTTTTTTTAATAACGAAACATTTATTTATATGACACTTTATTCAACAGGAAGAACAGCTCGTTCCGTGCGTCATACGTCATTACGATATTTCAACGTCATTGCACATGTGCAGTCCTTTTAGTTTTGGTTTTCAATCCGATCAAGTGTTTACATGTTCTCTTGCTCGGATTACAAAAGGAGTAAACCACCCCTTTCAGTCCGATCGAAATTCTAGTCGGATCGAGCTCAATCGGTTAAGGTGTTTACATGAAGGGTTTTTAGACCGATTGAGCCGCCAATCCGATTAAAAGGGTCCATGTAAACGCAGCTACTGATTTCTGTTTCAAATTAATGCGGTTCTTTTGAACTTTCTATTCCTCAAAGAATTCTGACAAATGTATCAGTTTCCAAAAAAATATGAAGCAGCACAACTGTTTTCAACATCAATAATAATATGAAATGTTTCTTGAGCAGCAAATCAGCAGGATAGATAGATAGATAGATAGATAGATAGATAGATAGATAGATAGATAGATAGATAGATAGATAGATAGATAGATAGATAGATAGATAGATAGATAGATAGATAGATAGATAGATAGATAGATAGATAGATAGCAAACTGAAACAACGTTGATCTGACATTGTTTTGCTCATCGAATTAACGTTGAACCAACGTCAGACGCGTCATTCTTTCAAAACTAACGGAAAATCAACTTGAAATCAACGTTGTTTCAACGTTATGAAAGCAAACCAATTTTCGATTTTCATTTAGCTTTGAAGAATGCCGCGTCTGACGTTGGTTTAACATTAATTCGATGAGCAAAATCAACGTTGTTTCAATGTCATGAGAGACGTCGTTTCCACGTTGATTCAATGTCAGTTTGCTGTCTAGATAGATAGATAGATAGATAGATAGATAGATAGATAGATAGACAGATAGACAGATAGACAGATAGATAGATAGATAGATAGATAGATAGATAGATAGATAGATAGATAGATAGATAGATAGACAGATAGACAGATAGACAGATAGATAGATAGATAGATAGATAGATAGATAGATAGATAGATAGATAGATAGATAGATAGATAGATAGATAGATAGATAGATAGATAGATAGATAGATCACATCTTTCATCATGTTCACTTTCACATATTGTAGACTTATATAACATTTTATATAATTCCAGCTTTATAAAGAGATCTTAATGACTGGTGGGCTCTGGTTGCTATAGTGAAGATGTATGCATAACCACTATATGAAAAGACTTTCTCATCAGCAACTGAGAGTTGTTTTGGAAAAATAAGATGGAAATCGTGACCTTCTCATTATTGTTGCTGATCTGAAAGTGGAACTTATTAAACTCTATAACAAGCCTTCCCTTATTATTTCTGATTAAGTGCTGAACAGAGGACCTTCCTGTTCATTTCAATAATGATATTGCATCCAGCCGAGCCCCCTGGAAGCAAGACTTGTCTTTGTTATGCCATAAAATAGTCTCAAAAGTCATTTATCAGTAACAAACAATAAAATCAACTACCCGCTAAATAATATATCCCCGTCCATATTGTTACCTGATGTTTTATTTGGGCCTCTTACAGTCGTACAGTTGTGAGAGTCGTAATAAAGCCACATTTTCCCCGAGGCTGTAAAGTCTACAGCACAAATGAAAGATGACCAGGCTCTTCCAGGGGCAAGCAGACAGTGTTTTCTTTAGGAAACATGATGCACCATCTTGTTTTCTTGCTTCGAGACCTGACTAATGGTGCTTCTCCCAGGGCTCCCACTGAACTTAGTGTTGACATGACCCAAGCCATTGTGCGGGAATCATTTTTGAGAGACAGCAATTGGCACCGGGACACAGGAACACTGACTAATTGAGGGGGAAGGTGTCGCGCTGTTATCCGTCCCTCATGCCGTGAAGTCACAAGCCCTGTGGGAATCACAATGGTCAGCGTGTCATCGCAAGACAAAGCGAGCGCTGAAGTTCCCCGGCATGGAGGTGTACCGCAAGCGCTGTCAGTTTAACAACTGCACAGAGAGATGATTCAATCCTGAAAGCTGCTCCATTGCAGGAGAAGCGCTTCGGCTTGGCGGTTTAATGGGTTTTCCACCGGTTAATTCACTCAAACAGCATCTCTGCGGCTCTCTTTTGTTCGTTTCATTGTCTCTGTGCCATGCTCCGGGTATGATCTACAGGCCTGTCACACCATATCTTCAAACTACATCCCACTCATTTAAGCCTTGCAGCCGCTAATACCTCATTCTGTTACAGCCACTGTCCCTTATCATAGTCATTACATGGTCAACGGCGTCTCTGTAATGATCTCTGTTCCTTTAGACCATCACTTTCTTCCCATCAGATGTCCATAAAAGAGTGTGGGGAAAGCAAGCTACTCAAAAAGTATATGGATATACAGAATAACACATAACGGACTACTTCGCTATAAATTGTGATTGTTCAGTTGCTGATAACTTTATGCTATTACTTATTAGAAAGCACATAGACTTGTGTGGCCAGACCTTTGACAGAACAGCATATGGTTTGGTCCGCTGAACATTGCCACTTATTCTTGCCAAGAACCACCTACTTAGATCGTTTTTGTGAGCAATATGTAAGGAACAGACTGTGTGTGCCATCTGAGATACAAAGATACAAGGCTGAGCAAGACACTGGGGGTATGTACTGTGTGTGATATTTTTAAGTAATATTTTATGTAGAAGCACAATTTATCAAAGTGAAAATGCATTATAGATTAATGTTTTAATTTTTTCATGCACCCTATTGTTCAAAGTTTGGGCTTGTTAAGATGTTTTTGAAAGTCTCTTCAGCACTGCATTAATTTGATCAGTACATTAATATTATTACCTATCTAAAATCATTTTTTTCTATTTTAATATATTTTAAAATGTACCGTAATTTATTCCTGTGTCTAAAGCTGAATTTTCAGCATCAGTCTTCAGTGTCACATGATCCTTCAGAAATCACACTAACATAGTGATTTGATGCTCAAGAAACATTTATGATTATTATCAATGTTGAAAACAATTTATTTAGAGAAGCATTTAATTGAATCAGATTTTTTTTTCCAACATTATAAACTTTTATGTCACTTTTGATCAAACTGTATCTTTACTAAATGCAAGTAATAATTTATGTTTATAAATAATTTGGACACTGACCACACCACCCAAAAAAATGACCCCTAACTTAGTATGAACCCTAACGGTAGTATATGTTTAAATAAATCTCCTGATTCTGTCACAAAATATCTATCATCACAATATCCAACATTTTGACAATGTCTATTATTTCAGTTTTGAACCTTCAGAAATCATAAACAAGGTAGTGTGATGGCCATTAATTATGATATCTCATAGAAATATAGATATTTTTTTCCTTCAGTTTATAAAAGCATTTGTTTTTGGGATAAAGTGATTCAAACTGATGCTGCAGGTCACAGTACAGTAAACAAGGGATAATAGGACAATAAGGTAGGCCTACATGTGTGAACGGTGAACGTGATTTCACCAAGTACCACATGTTCCTGGATCAACTTTCCAATCAACCAATCAGATTTGAGGTACAAGTTTACAGTTTATGTCAAGTTTAGGCTTAGAACCAGAGTGAAGTACTTTAATAACCCTCTGATTTTTGGGAAAAGTTACGGTTAGGGGTTACGGTTATACATTTTCTGGGACAGGAATGTTGATCCAGGACCATGTCTTACTTGGCAAAATCACGTTTACCATGTGGGAACAGCTCTTCATAACTCTTCATATATTTGTGTTTCTGAAATACTATAGCGGTGCAGTGTGGTAACCCTGGGACTCCCAGTAACGGACGGGTTTACAGACTAGACGGCACCACCTTCTCACACTCGGTCATCTATTCGTGTATGGACGGCTACCTGTTGAGCGGCTCCACCACACGACAATGCCAAGCTAACGGCACCTGGTCTGGCACTGCACCCAACTGCACCTGTGAGTCCAACACGCCAGCACATGGAAACAAAGAATACACCATAATGGCCTCAGTAGCTCTTCATTCCAGAGTATAATTGAGGTGATGTGACCGTGGGATTCGTTTGTGTAAAGCTGTACTAAAAATATTTCATCATGGTACCAAACTTGACTGATAGAGAAAAGTTCAGGCGACCAACTTCATGAAAGCTTCATTCAGGCTCCTCCATGAGTTATAGTGTTCATTTGAATATGGAAGATTAGAAAGTTTTCAGATAAGGGCATTTTGTGGAAGAATTGGGCCATAATTGGTGCGATTGCCGGATCAGGTTTCTCTGTAATGGTCTTTTGTCAAAGGGAGGAAGATGAACAGGTCAGAATGATTCCTCATTTGCTTCTGCTAGATACATGAATCAATTGTTTCAATATTTAAAAATCGCAATGCTGAACTAGAGTCCTTAAATTAGTCACAAACCCTGTTCGTTTAAATGCCGTGATCATCTTATGCACATTACCGATAGCAAAAATACAACACAAATTATTTACGGGATATATATATATATAATAAAATATAATCATGTGATGTCATGAAGGAACTTTTTGGAATGTCCTTTTACTTTTATTCATAAATTATATGGCAATTCATAGTTTTTTACTTGCAAAAACAATACATTTCACAGTATTTTACAGCAAAATGTCATATAACGCAATGTTTTTCAGAATATATGTTAACTTAAAGTAACGTGTTAACCAATTAAAGCAGCACTATGCAGATTTTTACCTTAACTGAATAGCTTTGGAGTTATTGCAATGGTTATATGACTATTTTCGGTTTGAATGTGGGCGTCCCCACCCCCGTTGCCTGTAAGAGGAAAAAACACACTTGCAACTTTGAGTCGGCGGGCCGCAGCATCAGGAAGTGTCGCATGATATCACGTCTCGCGATGTAACAAATTGCTTTACGGCAAGAAATATCTGCTAAAATCAGCATCAAACAGAAATAACCCGGCGCCGTATATATGTGGTGTTCGAGGCGCATACAATACAGACTGCCGACAGTTCAACATGGCCCAGCTCTTAAAGGAGCCACACCTTATTTCCACTCGTTACAGCTTCCATCCTACTGAACAGGTACCGGTATACGGGGGGGGTGGGATCAGGCCGTGAGTGCAGAGACATCTCTGTGTGAGTGCTTTTTACGACAGTACAAGTACTCCACAGCGACTCTAGGGGTCACACTTTGACAAAAACGGAAAGCGCTGCTTTAACAGTTGTGTACTGTTGCATTTAAAACATTTTCTGTAAAAAAATGAAAACATCAAATAGCTATTTGTTAGAGTCATTGTTTTTTCACATGGTTAGCTTGCGGATCATTTCAATCTATTTCACTTCGATTTGTGAGTGATGTAACGCTCACAAATTATAGTAGTAATAGTTGTTTGAGGAATGATGAATAGCCACACGGAACAGTCTGCGTAATGTGTCTTGGTAAATTGACATTATCATCCATAATCACATCGCTTAATGCTCTCACCCTTACACATGTGCATATTCCCTGCAAACTGTAGACCGGGATCATATGGGAGGCGCACCAAACCAGCTCTGATTGATGCGGCTCTACATGTGTTTATTGAGTGGGCCGAAAGCGGTGATACATGGCTCTGTCCGAGGGAGGAGTCGCATTAGCATTTAGCGTTAGCCATTTCTCACCATCAGCTGACATGTTTATGTGCGAGGCCGCTGATGGATTTTACAAAGCATCATTTTCCGTCCTTTTCCAAAAGACACAAAATGTATGGCAACTCAAGGGTGACAAATAAGTAATGGTCCACCATAAATCAATAGAGGAAATTAAGATGTTGCATTGGGGAAATAATTAAATAAATGCACTGATCGAGTGTGGTTTTGTCAGCCACAGCAAAGTGCAAAACTACAAACAATTTGTTACATCTGAATTCCAGTAGCGCCACATTCTTTCTCGCATCATTCCTACACAACCACCTCTTATTTATCCATCGGGAGGAATGATAATTGTAAAAGATCTGTGGGATTGATTTGAAGTTGCACCTCGGGGACGTCGGTGGGAAGGGAGCCGTGCTTGCGTGCTACTATTGATTTCTTTACATAATAGCAAGATCTATCATTGGAAATAAAAAAAAAGCCAGGGGTCCTAAAGATCGCTGTAGCGTAAATGAGTTGTTAAAGATGATTTGTGAACGTGGCTCCCTAAGGTTTGTTTCGATAGCTTCAATCACATTGCCACAAAAAGCTATGATTGCCATGTGATGAGTCGTATGAAATATTGAATAAAGATCTACAGTGCTGTTGTGTGGCACATTTCCCAGACTTTTAGCTCACATAGAGACTGTGCTAAACACAGTAGTTTATGTTGGCCTATAAACATCATAATTCTGATCTTTAATTTTCAGTGATCAACTGCGGAGACCCTGGAGTGCCAGCCAATGGGCTGAGATATGGTGAGGAGTTTACCATTGGACAAAACATCACTTTTATGTGCCAGCCCGGATACACGATGGAAACCGAGAGCTTCTCTATCATCACTTGTACCGGAAACGGGACCTGGAACGCCCCTGTGCCTTTCTGTAAAGGTAAAAACTTGATTTAAACTTCAGTGGACATAATAAAAATGACAGTTGTAATAGATTCTGATAAAACTTTACAGTTAGGTTCAATGCTTAAAACATATAAGTTGTCATGTGATAACAATGTACAATACTCGTACAGCTTTGTTTTAAGGAATAGTGCAATTCTGTCATTTCTTCTGTAGAACATACACTCTAAAAAATGCTGGGTTGTTTCAACCCAAATTTGGGTCAAATATGGACAAACCCAAATGTTGGGTTAAATTTTGAAATTACATTTTTAAACCAACATTTAGATTTGTCCATATTTTACCCAAATTTGGGTTCAAACATCCCAGCATTGTTTAGAGTGTATAAGGTTGTCTCAACTGGTTTTGTCCATTTAATGAAAGTCAATGAGTCCAAAACAACTTTGGACCCCACTGACTTTCATTTTATGCAAAATATAACATATAAAATAAATATCATCTCTGCATACTAAAAAAAACTGGGTTGTTTCAATTCATATTTGGGTTCAAATATGGACAAAATAGAACCAAAAAAATATTTGACCCAAACATGGTTTGAAACCACCCAGCATTTTTTTAGAGCATCTGGTATGTATTCATGTATACATATACTATTTTGTGTGCTTCTTTACTAATACTTTTTAATTAAGGACCAAACATTTAACACTTCATTCATGATAGAAGTGGGTGGAGTTATGAGGTTTGACTGACAGTTTGAAAATCCAATAGAGTTGTGAGGTCTTTTTAATACTGTAAGGCCTGGTTTCACAGACCAGGATTATGTTAGGCTCAGGTAAATTCAGAAATTTAAGTTGTTTTTATAAACGTGCCTTAGAAAAAAAAACATTACTGGTGTGCATCGTGAGACAAAACAATGGCATTGACATATTTTAAGAAATGTCAGTGCAAGTTGCTTTCAGTTAACACCGATCAAACATTCTTTTTACTCTGGGATTAGTTTAAGCCTTGTCTGTGAAACCGGGGAAAAATTGGTTACATTTTTGCAAAACTCACAGAAAGACGTAAAGTGTGACCAATATTAATGATTAAGAGGAAAAAAATAATGTTTCCGCCAAACAGCAACAGTTTTTTTTTTACTTTTCAAGTTGAACAAATTAAAAAAATATTTAAAGGACTATACACAGATGAAAATGAACAATGAACAATATATTTCCAAATTAACATAAACAAACATTAACATAAAATTAACAAATTGAACCTTGTAGTAAAGTGTTCCCTAAGTTCTCCTCTGTGGTCCCAAGATTAACACATTACTCCAGCATTTTCTCTGCCAAGTAAAGCCAAATAGCTTTATTGTTCACAAGGCACGGTTTAAGATGACTCTCTCACTGATATATATCTGCATATCTGGCCTCGACCGCCCCGAGCGTTAGATACACAGATGCTCCTCCTAGAGCGAGTTGAGGTCTTCCAGCTTTGTGTCTTCGCTGTTGTGATGTATGTCTTGTTTGAAATGTAGGGAGGAATGTTTATGCACCCTTGTAAGTCATCTTTTCTCGTGCGATTGCGCCTCAACCAACGGTAAACATTCATGTTTTATCAACCAATCATGCTGTGTGACAAATGACAATCGTACGCAGACACAGACTGAGCGTTCAGCCCTCGAGGGCTCTGTTGTTCCCATTATTATAATCAGCTTTGACCTATGAGCCCTTGCATTTCTTGTAATTAATTTCACAAATGCCTCCTGTCATCTTCCTACTGCCAAGAGATGAACTGGTACTGAATATATCAAGTGATATGAAATTGAATTTCAGGTTTGGACATTGCATTTGTGATCCTCCTCACCAGTGCCCTAGCCTCGAATGCCATTTTGCTAAGCTCATTTAGATAGACACAGATGTCTCATTTATTCCTGAAGGCAGCGACCTCCTCCTTCTCTTAAAGGACATGTTGTGCATACATATCTGAACTTCAAACTCCACTGATCTTCTGTCTCACAAAGCCATTAATACGCATGCTGAAGTGAGTTCACTCAAAAGAAAAACACTCCCACATGTGTCAAACGCTTCAGGTGTGGGAAGGATCCTGACATTGAGCGTGTGTGTGTCCCTTCTGTGTCTTTTCTTCAGTTGTAGACAGTATATATAAAATATTCATTAGCTTAGGAGCCCCAGTCTGGTCCAGGCCTTTTAAAAGGATGCCAACACAGATTCTGATTGAGTAGTTCACTTTTGAAAAAAACTTTTGCTGATAATTTACTTGCCCCCATGTCATCCAACATGTCCATGTCTTTCTTTCTTCAGTCGAAAAGAAATTAAGGTTTTTGATGAAACCATTCCAGGATTTTCTCCATATAATGGACTTCAATGGGGTCCAAACGGTTCAAGGTCCAAATGAGAGTTTCAGTGCAGCTTCAAAGGGCTTTAAACGACTCCAGACGATGAACGATTTCATCGTTGACGATTTCGTTCGTTGAATGAACCAAATGACTTGAAAAAAGATTCGTTCATTTTGTGCCTTGTGCCAGAAAAGAGCAAGGCAACCATTTGTGCTTATAAAACTTAAACTTTTTTGATTATTTTTTTTTTTAAATGACCGATGGTTTTGCTTTATAAGACCCTTATTCATCGTCTGGTGTCGTTTAAAGCCCTTTGAAGCTGCACTGAAACTCTCATTTGGATCTTGAACCGTTTGGACCCCATTGAAGTCCATTACATGGAGAAATATCCTGGAATGTTTTCATCAAAAACTTTAATTTCTTTTCGACTGAGGAAAGAAAGACATGGACATCTTGGATGACATGGGGTCGAGTAAATTATCAGCAAAAGTCTTTTTTAAAGTGAACTCCTTTAATAATACAACATTGGGGATGTTTTGTGTATTGATTGTTTCACATCAAGCAAAGACAACACAATCAGCTCATAAAGAAGCTGTCAAATTTATTGTGTTTGCATTTTGGCTGGAACTTTACCATGGTTTAAAGAGTGTTGGATTGGGTGTTGCTCCATGTGTCATCATGAGTGGCCGATTGAGCAAGGCATCGGCTTCCTGTCTGGTGGAGTGTGATTGATTTTAAAAGCTTGTGTACCTGAGGACTGATAACCGAGGAAGAGGACTTACCTCACAGAGTTGTGTGGGCAGTTATTGGAAAAGATGGGGCCTCTAAGACAGATATAGCATTCAGTGCCTTCAATAGTGTTTGCAGAAGCAATTAATCTCTCTGAACCTGCTAGTATTGCTATAGTTAACACTTTTTTAGACATATTGTTGTGTCTTGTTCTCTGAGAAAATTCAACTTTTCTATTACACATTTGTGCTAGATTTGACAATTTAATATTTAATATGCAAATTGAATATGTATTGCATGAAATGCTGTTCTTAATCCTCCATGTCTTTGTCTTGTTTTGCAATAAAAAAACTCAAATAAAATGGATTTACTTCATGTTAACTCTTAAAACAAGTTATAAAATGTCAAACGATTAATCGTGATTAATCGCATCCAAAATAAAAGTTTGCGTTTACATATATATGGGTGCACTGTTTATAATTATTTATATATATATATATATATATATATATATATATATATATATATATACCACACATGCTTGTTGCTGTCACGTAGTGATTTTGTGTGTTTTCGTTATTAGTTATTGCCCGTCCATTATTTATCCCAGGTGTTTCTCATTTCTCACGCCCCCTTGTTATCTTGTCTAGCTCGTTTGTCATTGATTATTTAAGCCCTGTGTTTCTGCCCTGTCTTTGTTGGTTGTTGAATTTATGTGTGTTGCGTTGGTGCTCTCAAGTTTTCTTGCTTCTAGTGTCTTGTTTTAAGTTTCTTTAATAAAGCTACACTGCGTTTGGACCCAGCCTCAGCTCTGTTTCTCCGCACAGCGTCACAGTTGCATATTTAAGAAATATTTTAATGAATATACTTTATATAGATTTTTTCCTAAATATACATGGTTGTGTGTGTATTTATATATACAAAATAATTATACACAATGCACCCACATATATTATGTAAACGCAAACTTTTATTTTGGATTCGATGAATCGTTTGACAGCCCTAGTTTATTAAGATTAAATGTAAATTTTCAAAAATAGTATTAAAGATTCACTGATTGAATTATTGATACATATTCATATATTTCATAATTATTTCAACGTCTTATGTATGATTTATATTTTTAGATTATTCATAATAATTGTATGTAATATTTTTAAGTAATATTTAGCGGGAATTATGCAGACGGTCTACTAATACTTTAATGACAGTTAGTTGACTTAAGTTAGTTGACAGAAGATTGTCAACAAATTATCAACAAATTATTAGAATTATCAACAAAAGTAAAAATTGTATCATTTCAACCCTGTTAACCATGTTGTTGTAAGAAAAAATAGTCAAGTGATTTTCTTTAATTTATTGCAAATAAAGAAAACAAACCACATTTGGTCCCGAACTCTCCCAATGGAGACTTTTTATGTTTATTTAATGTTTATTGCTAGAAGTAAATCACATCAGGCTTTTAAACTGTATTTATTCCTCAAATGTTGGTAACAAGGTTGCAAACCTCATATAAACTGAACAGAAAATAAAGAAGCTCGTATAATATTTAGTTTGCCCTCCTGGGGCGAGCAATCAGCATGTTCTCAAGGTTAAGCTTTTCTTACACTGAACATTTGTTAAACGGGAAAAAGAGGCCCTGGGAAGTGCCATTTGTTGTATTTAAAGGGTGTTTAGACATTTTTACTGGAAATCAAGTCAAATACTTGATTAATATACATTTTTTTATGTTGGTTACATTCTAATTTTACCATGGTCTGTTAATTCTGATTGGCTGGAAGATGTGCATTAAAACCATTTAATGCACTGGTAGTTCACATATACACACGTAATTCACACATGCATCTGTCATTGATTGATAATTAATTAAAATAAATGATATAATTCATTAATTCAAATAAATGTAATGTCTTACCGCACTACCTTATCTCTGTGTCTGATTTAAAGCGGCTGAATGCTGGATTTAAAGATCCATAACTAATGAAAATAACCGTCATATTTAACATTCCGATCAAATGTTGTGCTGCAAACATCAAAAACAGCTTGTCAATGCTGGCCAATGACTATGGTATAAGCGGGATAATCCACGGCTTGCTGTGCATTCAATTATTCACGTCGGGTGGCTCTTCGCCTCCCCGTCATGCACTTAAATTGTTAAATGCACAGATTATCCCTGACTTGTATTTGAAATGGGATTGTTAATTATGCGTTGCTCTGTTTAATGTGTCCGTTCAGCCGTGACCTGCACAGCTCCTGTTCCCATCTCAAACGGGCTCCTGGAGGGCCGAGACTTTGAGTGGGGCACCAGCGTGAGTTACAGCTGCTCCCCGGGATACGAGCTCTCTTTCCCTGCCATCCTCACCTGTGTGGGCAACGGGACATGGAGTGGAGAGGTGCCTCAGTGCCTGCGTGAGTACTGTATATTAATACTAATCAAATCCCTTTGGGTCTTTGCAACCCTATGCATGCTAACATTTCAGCCTTATACTTGCTGTTAACGTGGAATTAATGATCAGATTTCATTGATTGAGTGGTTCATCTTTGAATATGTACATACAGTATAATTCAACAATTGACATTACATCCTTTTACAAATATTTGTTAAAGGAGTAGTTCACTTTTAAAAAATCTTTTGCTGATAATTTACTCACCCCCATGTCATCCAAGATGTCCATGTCTTTCTCTCTTCAGTAGAAAATAAATTAAGGTTTTTGATGAAAACATTCCAGGATTTTTCTCCATATAATGGACTTCAATGGGGTCCAAACGGTTCATGGTCCAAATGAGAGTTTCAGTGCAGATTCAAAGGGCTTTAAACGACACCAGACGATGAATAAGGGTCTTATCTAGCGAAACGATCGGTCATTTCAAAAATAAATCAAAAAGTTTAAGTTTTATAAGCACAAATGATCACATTCGTTAGTTAAATGAACCAAATGACTCGAAAAAAGTTTCGTTCATTTTGATGAACGAGTTCGAAAAGGAGAGTCACGAACGCTCATCACAGAACAGAGCAAGGCGAGCATTTGTGCTTATAAAACTTAAATTTGTTATTTATTTTTGAAATGATCGATTGTTTCGCTAGATAAGACCCTTATTCATCGTCTGGTGTCGTTTAAAGCCCTTTGAAGCTGCAGTGAAACTCTCATTTGGACCTTGAACCATTTGGACCCCATTGAAGTCCATTATATGGAGAAAAATCCTGGAATGTTTTCATCAAAAACCTTAATTTCTTTTCGACTGAAGAAAGAAAGACATGGATATCTTGGATGAAATGGGGGCGAGTAAATTATCAGCAAAAGTTTTTTTTAAAGTGAACTACTCCTTTAAGGGACACCAGACACGGTGGGCTCAGCATGGTGTAGCTTGGGATATCAGTTCTGTCTGTTTCAGCACATCCAATGCTGTATTGAGGTTTTGAACATCTAAGATGAAGAAACTGGCATGAGAATTTAAAGTTTAAAAAGCCTAGTTATCACAAAGGTACCCTTGTTTTAGCCCTCACATGTAATAAAAGCAGGCAAACTTTAGCTTGAGAAAGAAAGTATACCTCTGACTTTGTGATGCTGATTTTTTTCCTTCTCTTTGTTTTCCACTTTTATTTTATATCTTGACAGCATATCTATAATTCATCAAGAAAAGTCAAGTTTGTAGTGCTGGATCTCAGGCACAGTAGTCTGACCAGCATATTTATGATGGATCCGTCAGTTGGTGACGTCAAGCATGTGATTGATTTTCCCTCAGACTCGTTGTTTGCCTGACAGTGACAGAGCCATAGATAACACTCTTCGTGTGCTTGGGATTTCCCACACTATTCCATACTATTCTTACCATTCCTTCAGTATATAATATGTACACACTATTTTGGGGTCAGTATGATTTAGCAAGGATGTATTATGAAAATATTACAAAATATTATGTTTTAAATAAATGCTTATCTTTTGAACTTTTGAACAAATAATTTAAAAAATATGTGTTTATGCATGTTTCGGACAACTGTCATTAAGTGTCTTTCGCTCAATAATGACATTTTGAATGCAGATATGACATTGTTTTAGATGTTAACCAATAAAGCTAGGTGGTTTCTTAAGTTTAACAATTAATCTGCAATGTCATGTTTATGACAGGTTGTGTTGTCTTAGTAATGTCAAGTTGTCATGACAAAGACACTGACAGGTTATGATGTATTGGTTTACGTTAAGGTGTCATAACGAAGACATCTCAAACAATGTCATATTTGCATACATGAGCGAATGACATCTAATGACAGTCATGGTTACGAAGGTGTCATGTTAGTCTTATGCACACCCCTTCAAGTAAAGTGTTACCAAACCTTTTTATCTAACAGTTTACATGCATCCTTCATAACTAACCCTTTGAGGATGATTTAGTTGAATGTGTTTCTTTATGATTTCTGTGATAATAGCAAAGTTCTGTGGAGATCCTGGAATCCCTGGTTTTGGCTCGAGGGAAGGCCGCAGTTTCATCTTCCAGTCTGAGGTGTCATTTAGCTGCATGGCTCCCTACATCCCAGTGGGCAGCACGACACGCTTCTGCCAGGCTGATGGCACCTGGAGTGGATCCCAGCCTCGCTGTATAGGTAAATCAATTATGATGACACAGTTTGCATGTTTCAACCATATGTTGAATTCCCATTGAAACGGACTGCCATACTAATTGTTATATGTATATCAAAACCCAATAATCCCTAAAACCAAATAATAAGCTAGCTGGCCGCTATGTCCAACTCTGCTCAGCGAGAAGCAATTACGGCCGCTTAAAGTGCTCCTATGATGCTTTTTTACATTTGACGTTTTCAATGTTCAATGTTGCTGTTTGAGCAAGTTACAAAGCAAAGGGAGTTATTTTGTATATCAGTGTCAGTGTTTCTGAACTCCCGAAACGCCTCAATTGTAGTCTTGAGTTTTAATCTTAATTTAAATAATTCATACACAGAATAAATGGGCGGGGCCTGGTTGAGTTAGTTAGTAGTGTGTTAAACTGCTGGTTATGGTAAGGGGCGGGACATTTCCCAAACACACTCAAAGCTGTTGACCAATAACAACACACTGATCCAGCCGGCCAATCAGAGCACAGAGGGGCTTTTCAGAAGGAGGGGCTTCATAGAGACAGGAACTAAACAGAGCATTACTGACAGACTGGGAAGAGAGGAGCCGCAATAATGGAGAATATGTGGAAAATAATACTTTTTTTTTTTTTTTGAGCATTCAAGCATGAAAACCTATTCTAGTAGAGCCCAAAAACAAAAGGTATTTTAAAAGTTATTTAAAAATGTTTTACGATTCAGTTCAGACATTTAACCTAGGTGGTCAGAATTGAAAGTTTTGCCCCAATTAACACTTTCCCGTTGCTCCAGCTGCTGAGTGTTATGATTTCCACCCACAACGAAAAGCTGTTTTGGTCTTTTTTGTCGCCCAGTGCACAAAAGAGCTCAAAAGTATTTAGTAGCAACAACAACTCCAAAGAAATCAATGCCCTCCACACAGCCCAGGTCAGCGCTGCTCCAAGCCCGCCTGGTGTTGTCTTGACAATTATGGTGGAGAAGAACAAAGCCACTCCTTTTAGTGACCTCTGAACAAGGGAAGTGGGAACAGTCTGCAGACGAGTGGAAAGAATGAAGTGTGGAACCGAGGTCAAGGAAAACTATATAAGTTTGCCAAACGTCAACTTGCCAAACTTATTTCTTGACAGTCGGCAATGGGAGCTGTTGTGAAGCTGTTGTAATTGTTGGCTTGATTCCCATGACCTCCTCAAACACAGGTGTGCTGAATACTACATTAATGTATTCTGAACCAACATCAATCAACAATGAACAATTCATTGTTCATTAAAAATGTTTTTATGTATAATGAGAAATTTTTACTTATTGTGAAATATTACTAAAATAGTATTAATCAATTAAAAGTCACTTTGTGTCCTTTTTGTAAGTTAAACTTGAGATGAAATGGAAGTAGCAATAGATCTTTTTTGGTAATGTGACAGAGACAAATGTAGGTCAGGTACATCAGCTGTTGATTGGATGTTGATTTTAAGAAAGCGGCGGGGTTTAAGCAAACTAAATATGTCACTAGCAAGATGTCGGTCATCTCAGTGGAAGATTGAGGTATGATATTTTATAAGATCAATAACATGCCTTTTCAAAATAGGCTGAATTTAGATGTTATGCCGATTTAAACAATTAATTAACACTTTACCAGTTAATGCTGTTGTTTTGCACTTTTTAATATATATTGTCACAAACACGTCACAATATTCCTCATTTAAATAATTAATACAGAGAATAAAGAGTCGGGGCCTGGTTGAGTTAGTTAGTAGTGTGTTAATTCTGTGGTTATGGTAATGGACGGGACATTTTTTGCCAAACACCCTCAAAGCTGTTGACCAATCACAACATACTGATCCAACTGACCAATCAGAGCACAATGTGCTTTTCAGAAGGAGCTGAATTTACATACCTTTTCAAAATAGGCTGAATTTGCGTTATGCCGACTTTAAAAATTAATTAACACTTTTAATTAACACAACCAGTTAATGCTGTTGTTTGGCACTTTTTCACTTATTAGGGGTGTAACAGTACCCGTATTTGTATTGAACCGTTGGTTTAGAGGCTTTCGGTTCGGTACGCATTTCAAACCGAACGATTTGATGGACCATTTTTCCTGCCGACCAAAATTTTGTTTGCATTTGCGCTGGCGCTGCCACCACAACACTGCCCAACATCAGATGGTAAACGTGATGAAAGCGGAACGAAACTGCGCAACTCTTTTGTGCTTAATGAACCCTTATGGGTTTGGACCAAATAAAATAACCTTTGTTATCCTTATAACTACTACAATATTGCATTTCATTTTTTTTATAAGGAACTGTTTTCGTTTTGTATGCTGTTAAGAAGAGTCAAGTATAGCTCCAATATTGTTCAAATTTGAAAAAAAAGATACTTTATGATGTTAGTTTTAATAAATAAATTCAAATTTAAAAATCAAGGAAATTTCTCTGGCATTTCATTCTTTTTGCTGTATTGAAAACATACCGAACCGTGTCACCACTGTATCGTATCGAATCGAACCATGCATTTTGTGAACCTTTACACCCCTAATATATAGGCTACTGTTTATATATATATATATATATATATATATATATATATTAAGCATGATCTGTCACCAGATTTATGTCTTTACTGTTTTGTGGTTTATAAATGCTGTGATTGCAGGATAACTTATATTATCATCTGAAATTATTCTCTTGTCGATTGAGTTAACTTTCTGTTATACTATAGTTATGACTATGACTGTTATGACTATAGTTGAACTAGTTTAAATTCCTTAAACTTCCCCAACACATACTGTGGGAGTTTCGAGTCTTTGTTCCTCCCAGGGTTTCGTATAAAGGCACTAATCTCTGTAAATCTGCTTTAGGGGGCAAAAAAGGATTCATGTGAATTAGTTCTATTTATGTATACATACCTCATATCCTCACTTCTCCTTCTCATTCCCTGTGTATGATGTGCTGTATTACGGCTACATCAATTTCTCCTCATCTTATTAACAAAGACTCCTCTTACTGTCCCCCTGCGTACAGTGTTTATCTGATTAAACCCCTCAGTTTATTCATTCATGAGGGAGTCCTTCTCCTAACATCAATAAATACATTGATAATTGTTTTTAATTGAGCAAGTAATTGAATAAATGGTCCCAACTCTGTGAGGCCATTATTGAGGAGCTGTGAACAGCCAGCAGGAGATTTGGATGAGCTCTGATTGGCGTTTTTAAGCATTTAGTGTATTGCGTCGACAGAAGATGACAGCCATGGCCCCAAAGCAGGTGTAATCATTTAGCAGTTTCAATGGAGTGTTACGTATTATGGCCTCATACAGTATTACACAATCAAAGACACCATGAAAACGAAATGAAGTGCTCTAAAATGCCACTGCATTTTTACCCACACCAATGCATATAGAATGAATCCTATTGGCTGTTGTAGTTTCCATTTGGTACATCTGGGATTACTGAGATAAAAACCCCATGCAGTATGGTTTGATTAAATGCAAATAATGTTATTGAACTAACCTTAAAATTGTGCATAGAATAAATCAGTTAGAGAAAACATTTTCCATATCTTTTGCTGTTGATGTCAGGCTGTGCATCCAAACTCTAGCACAGATTCATCCATCAGTTGTAGACACAGGCAAAAGGTGACATGAACAGGCTGTGTGACCTCATCTTCAAAAAACATTGAACTCATGCAATGCAAGGTACATGAAAACACGACCCAACCAGTTGTTGCGTGCGAGGACAGGTTTTCACAATCAGAGACATTTAGAAACCAAATTTATCAATTGTATTGTACTGTTCTGTAGGGTAAATGCTATTTTCATCTGAGTACCTCCATTCCATGATATCTTTTCAATGGTGGTGATGATGACTTTTAAAACTTCCATATGGATGTGGAAAGATGTGAACATCTCCCATGTACATGTGGTAGTTTTTACTTAATCCTATTTGGCCTGCTAGTCAGTTCTTCCTTCAAAATCAAAGCAACACGAGCACCGTCTGCAACTCTTTTATCCATATGGCAATGCAGTCATATATTTTCTCTGTGCTGACTCGGTATTCGAAGCCCCACACACACACATAAAAACGGGTTGGTTGTGTAAGCCTCGCAGGTTGTCCTGTCATTTGCACGCCTGCATTGAATCAAGGGTCTCTGCGTCAGCTCAAAATGTGCTCTACATCCCAATTACAGAGCAGCACATCTGTGTGGGAGCAGATGCACTTCTGCAGCAACACTGCCCCCTGCTGCGTCTCCCTATAACACGGCTGTTACGACATCGCTGCAGCACTTACATAAACACACAGGCCCATAACAATCACCATAAGCCCTAGCACTGCTTTGAGCGATGTGTCTGGGCTCAGGAGGGGCTATGTTGCACGTATTTATGAGAGATGAAATGCTGTTTCTCTGTTATGGTGGTGAGATAGAAACTGCCTCAGTTGTGGCTGATAAGAAGATCTTGAGATGAAGAATGTGACTGGATGTTCATTTGTTTTGCCTTTCTTTCCCCAGAGCCAACTCGTACCACCTGTGAGAACCCTGGGACGCCCCGCTATGGCTCTCTCAACAGGACCTTTGGCTTTAAGGTAGCAGGACGACTACATATAATAGAAAACATTGTGTCAGAGTTCAATGTTCATGGTTTGTGTCAGTTTGAGTGTTGCTTTCATGAAAGCCAAAGAGGGACAAAACAAAACACTAGACTCTAACAAATGCTGGGTTGTTTTAGCCCAATTTTGGGTCAAATATGGACAAACCATTTGGTTACGTTTTTAAATTACATTTTTAAGCCAATGTTTGAGTTTGTCCATATTTGCCCCATAATTGGAGTGTATTTTAAGAGTGTAAGAATAACCCAATACTCTTCTGAAATGGATAATTTAAGAAGTAATATTGACCAAATTAAGCTATTTTTTTTTCAGTTAAACTTTTACTATTATTATATTATATTATAAAAAATTGTAGACTTTTGTTGTATTTTTGTTGCTTTGGTCCAAGGCCCCCTATAGAGGGAATGCATTGACGTCACTTTCCTGCCGGAACAACCCCCCTCAGCCTGATTGAATGGCACAATTTTATCAATTTAGACTAAATGTTGGACTCAAAATAGCGTTCCTTACAACTTTCTAAAGATCCAGTGATCCATGGATATTGACATGCAGCCAGGAATCGTGTTGCCTGACATTTATGTTTGCCTGTCCAATAATGAAGAATATGCAATGATAAATCTTTAATTAATGAGCTGTAAATATACACTCACTTAAAGGATTATTAGGAACATCATACTAATGCTGTGCTTGACCCCTTTTCGCCTTAAGAACTGCCTTAATTCTACGTGGCATTTATTCAACAAGGTGCTGAAAGCGTTCTTTAGAAATGTTGGCCCATATTGATTGGATAGCATCTTGCAGTTGATGGAGATTTGTGGGATGCACATCCAGGGTATGAAGCTTCTGTTCCACCACATCCCAAAGATGCTCTATTGGGTTGAGATCTGGTGACTGTGGGGGCCATTTTAGTACAGTGAACTCTTTGTCATGTTCAAGAAACCAATTTGAAATGATTCAAGCTTTGTGACATGGTGCATTATCCTACTGGAAGTAGCCATCAGAGGATGAGTACATGGTGGCCATAGAGGGATGGACATGGTCAGAAACAATGCTCAGGTAGGCCGTGGCATTTAAACGATGCCCAATTGGCACTAAGGGGCCTAAAGTGTGCCAAGCAAACATCCCCCGCACCATTACACCACCACCAGCCTGCACAAGGCATGATGGATTCAGGTTCTCATTCTGTTTACGCCAAATTCTGACTCTACCATCTGAATGTCTCAACAGAAATCGTCTTTTGCTGTTGTAGCCCATCCGCCTCAAGATTGTGCGTGTTGTGACTTCACAAATGCTTTTCTGAATACCTCGGTTGTAACGAGTGGTTATTTCAGTCAAAGTTGCTCTTCTATCAGCTTGAATCAGTCGGCCCATTCTCCTCTGACCTCTAGCATCAACAAGGCATTTTCGCCCGCAGGACTGCCACATACTGGATGTTTTTCCCTTTTCACACCAATCTTTGTAAACCCTAGAAATGGTTGTGCGTGAAAATCCCAGTTACTGAGCAAATTGTAAAATACTCAGACTGGCCCGTCTGGTACCAACAACCATCCCACGCTCAAAATTGCTTAAATCATTGCTTAAAACTTTCCCATTCTGACATTCAGTTTGGAGTTCAGGAGATTGTCTTGACCAGGACCACACCCCTAAATGCATTGAAGCAACTTCCATGTCATTGGTTGATTAGATAATTTCATTACTGAGAAAATGAACAGGTGTTCCTAATAATCCTTTAGGTGAGTGTATATAACAATACAAAATATATGGGTTTGGTTTTACACCTAAATTCAGCATATTGACACAAAATGATAACTGCAAATACGCCTTTCCCTGACTGGATGAGTGATCCATTTGCTCCTCTTTCTATAGCAATCTGTAAAAATATACCTCCGATTTTTTTGTCAAAGCTAGTTGTACAGTCAATCGCAAAGCTCTCTCCCACTTTATTTGTGTTGTGTTTGTTTTCGCGGAATTCACGCTGAAAACAAATACAGCCGCTCAGTCTTTTTGCCACTCACTGTGAGTAATTGCAGGCCGACGGTGACGTCACATTCCCTCTATTGTCCACAGCAATGCTGACATTTACAGATATGTAATATTTACTGGAAAAGGAAATTCACAATTTCTACCTGATATTTTAGGATTTCAGAGCTTGCCATAACTAGAATAATTTTGATTAAAAAATAAGCTTAAAATTGCTCTCAGGAATTTACCATCGTTGAGATGGTGAAAACAATTTTCTTTTTCTTTTCTTTTTTTTGTGGTTTAGGATTTTTTTAAATCGTTGTTTTGTCTTTATTTTAAATCATTTTGTGTCATCTTGGCCACCTGGTTGAGATCCACTGCTTAAATAGAAATAGTTCATGTAAAAATGAAACATTTTATGTACATTTACTAATCCATATATCATTCCAACCTGAAGCTACAGCTTCTGATGACAGTCCTGATGAGTTGTATGGACCGCTTTTACAAAGTCAAAGACCTCATTTTGTGTTTCACTGAAGAAGGAAATTGATACTGGGCTTTGAATAACATTAAAAATTGTTGGTGAACCATTCCTTTAATCTTCACATTAATTCATATCTTCACTTATTCCTTCCTTGAAAGCATTCTTAATGATCTAAAGAATGATTCATGGCTTTTCTTAAACCCACTCCAGACAAACTACTTGGTGAAGGCCCTTCATTCCCTCACATCCACTACAAAATATTATTAAGCCCTCTCAAGACTTGAGGAGCGATGAAATGTATGCATGGATGTAATAACACCTGAGAATCACTTGAATACAACAAAAAAAAACATCTGATTATGTTTCTTCAGGAGAGCAGGACAGATGGGTGAACTGAGAGAGATGTGAAAAACAGAAACACTGAGATTTACTGAGGAAGAGCATTCATCGCTGGCATTAAGAATTCAAGTCGTTACAGTATCAGAGGTCAAGCCCTCCGGAGGCTTCATGAAACCGCTAAATATCAGCCTTTCATATTCGTAAATCATTTGTCTGGCCTGGAGAAAAAGGAGCCAGTCAAGCTCTTTTGCTTTCCGGGGCTTAATGATGTTTGAGTCGGCGAGGGGAGATATCACACACCTCAGATAAGCAGCAGTGTCTATGGCTCGTCAGCTGTGTTTGCAGTGAGCGGGGACATGTTAATCAATTAATATGCTAAACCACAGTGACATGTGTTAATATCTTACTTCTCTTGTATGTATCCTAAAGCACAGCCCACGCCCACAGGGATATATGCGGCACTTTTTTGTCCCATGACCTTGCTGATAATAACGTATAGCAGCCGAACACGTTTGCATGAGGAGCGCTACCATATATTATGGAAATAAGTGGCACTTTACATCACTAGTGGTCCGGAAAGGAGGTCACAATGGCCTCCTAAGTGCATGTACGGGTGATTACTTGAGCTGTAGGTAAAGTAGGTAAGTAGCATATATATGAGAATATCCACCCAACATTAGCACACTTGCACTTTAGCTAAAGAGTGAGTCTGGGAAGCAGATGGCATACGGCGATGCAGAAGAAACCTGAAGGATCTGGCATTTCAGGAGTGAAAACTCTACGGTTTGTCAGGCTTGAAACAGGGTCATTGTAAACCCGGGTAAGGGTGATTCTTTAACTATGGTACTCTTTGAGCTAGACAGTTTCAGAAAAATAAAATATTTCTTACTACATTAACTTAATTAATTGTATGTTTTTTTGTTTTTACATGAATTTTTTAGTATATAGCCCAAAATAATTTGCTGTTTAGCACGAACAATGTCATTTCCACCACAACCTGTCTTTACCACCACAATGAACACAGTGGTGGAAATGACATCATGCTATGTTAGCCTGTTAATATTAGTTGTACAGTTAGCATTAAATATACACAAATTACACATTATTAAATTCATTTTATCCAGTTATTTTTACGTCCATGTGAAATATGAACCGTTTGGAAATGACATATTTCAGTTTTAGCCATATTTACTTTACTTTTTCTTCTTTTCATTACCCCCTAAAAAGGTCACCCTTTCACCCAGCCATGTGATCACTGTGGAGTTACTATTGCTATGGTTACTAAGTATTCAAACCTAAAACAATGATCCCAGGATTCTATTTTGTACAGTGTGGTGGAAATGACAGTGAACCCAAGGGACAAGGGTTCTACTTATGAAAAATATAAGAAAATGTGAATAAATATTGCAATATATAATATGTATAATTGAAATAGACATTATTTTATTTTATTTAGACATTATTTAATTTGTACTTAAAATCTACATTATTTAAATATTTAATTTAGAATTAAGCGAGGTTGAAGGTACAAAGTCTGGCTTAGGGACAGGGGGAAGTAAAAATCATGCATAAAAGGCCTCATATTATATAATAAAAAGAATGATTAAGCCATGATACATTTTTTAATGGTTCGTCTGGCAGCACAATGTGGTTTTAACAGCACAAAATCAGCACTAATCCTGCTCCGGAGCAAGGTTTCATACTCCTGTGTAAAAAGCGGAGCTAACCCCGCTCTTAAATTACAAGTGTGAAACATTCCTTTACCTGGGGTTAAAAGCAGGGTTTAGAATGACAATATGGGGTTAAACCCAGGGTGAAAAAGCTTTTCTTTCATTTAAATCTCCAAGTATTAAGTGTTTAACATTGTTTGTCTCCAGAAGAGTGATGGGGAGTGCCGTGTCTAATGGGTGTGTGTGTTTGGTGTAGGTTGGAAGTATGGTGGCTTTCCAGTGTCAGCCTGGTCACCTTCTGCAGGGCTCCACCACACGTCTCTGCCAGACCGACCTCACCTGGAGTGGGACACAGCCGGAGTGCATCCGTAAGTCTGATCCCTATACACTCTTTGAAATAAAGGTTACTTTTTAGCATCTATGGTTCCACGGAGAAGCTTTAACCTTTACATTACATAAACAGTTCTTGAAAAATGTTCTTTGGGCTATTAACTCGTTTCCCGCCAAAAGAGTTTTTCCGTCATTTTATGACACAACCCTTCCAATCGCCATTGTTTTCACTGTTATACGGTAGGGGGTGCTGTTGTGCATCTTCTGAAATGGGACAGCATATCCGGATCGAAAAATAAGCTCTGCATAAACCAGAAAGAACAGATCGAAGTTTATGCACAAGTAAGCAAACGGGATCATCAAAAAATTCAACAGTATATAAATGAAAACTGCTTAGCATTACCAAATTAAATGGCGAACCCACGAAAAGGAAGCCTTGGGGGTGTTGATGGACTACTTGATCTATGGTTTGATAATCGTTCCAAATCCGATGTTAAAGAATGAATGAAGCTAGAATTTATTTTTTTGAATGAAAGTTTTGTGAATATGGTCAAAAATGTTGGCAGTGACTGGTGGGGAAAAAGTTCGAATTTTCTATGCACAAGAGGGAAAAAAATGCATTGGTTGGTTGATGAATTGGTTGAATTGAATGAACTGAATGGTTCTTTGGGGAACCCAAGTGTACCAGTTGCCACAATCATGGGAATCTGTCAGAATACCAATTTATATTTATTGAAGTTTCTCATTTATAAAGGTCAATGCAGAATATATTTGTATAATTGAGCTACAAAGAAATGAGTGCACCAGTATAGTCGAGAACAGCTCATTCGAGTCCAAGTCAAGACTGTGACCAGAAGAGAGTTTACATGTACCAAAAACATGAAAATATGGACTTGGCCTTGAGTCAGAGAGCAAGACCCTGATCTTGGCCCTCAAGTTCAAATTTTAATGGTCTTGGTCCTGTCATGGACTTGGTCATGACTTGGACTTGACCCTGTTTTGGTCTTGGTCTTGACTTTGATTTGAAGGAACTGGTCTTGTGGTGTCAGTTAAACTTAAAGAAACTTAGAAGCCAATTTTTCTACAAACAAGACATTAATATCAGTTAACTTGCTTTTGAGACAGCAAATGGCAAGTTATTTTGCTTTGCTAATTAAAGTAGCTCCACAGAATAATCATACTCATAAGTCAGAACACATCTTTTGAATGAAATCTTAGAGCTTTTTTGTCCCTCCATTGACAGCTACGCAACTACCACTGTTAAGGCCAAGAAAGGTAGTAAAGACATCATTAAAGTAATCCATGTGACTCCAGTGGTTTAACAACAGATTTATGAAGCGACACCAGTGCTTTGTTTACACAAAAATAACATAATGTATAACTTTATTTACAAAATCTAAATCTCCAATACGCTTTCACGAGAGCACCATGACGCATGCGAGTTGGAGATCAACAGAAGCTCCGAAATTAAGAGCATTAAAGCAGGCTGAAGAACGAGAAAACAGCTGGCCTCCAATTTCACAAGACAGATTGCCATTCAGTTGAAGCATTTCAAAAGCTAATTACATTTTTCATCAAACCACTGCCCCGATCTGCCCCGAAGTTCTGTCATTGTTTTGCAAAAATTAGGAAACTAACCAATGAGATGGCTAGGAAGACACAGCACTTAATTGTAAATCTGTGATAAAACAGCTTTTTTTTTTTTCAAGAATAACCGAGATCATTCTGTAATTACGCACTGTAATTTTGTTTACACAGAGCAGTTGGCTACTCACAGAGTCAGGCTAAGTGCTAAATCATCTTTCTCATTTTTCACGCAGAATTGGATAATGGCTGGCTGTCCTTTCCATTAGCGTTACACTAGATTGGTCTCCAAAGAAATAAAATCATTTTGTGTTTTTTTTTTTTTTCTTGCGCTTTGCTTTGTCCTGAGAATTTATTTATTTATTTATTTACTACAAGTGGACTGTATAATATAATTCATAGCTATGGAAGGCTTCCACATGCAAAAAGCTATAGACTGTTTAATTTAAGTATGATGTAAAAATACATTTATTTATTTTTCAAGAGAGCAGGGATAATTTTAATCATATCAGTAATCGAATGATATCATGATAATTTTGCACAATGTGAAAAATATTGTCCAAATTAATTTTATCTCTTAAAACTCACCAAAATGACATATTTAAACGTCCCCCCCCCCCCCCCCTTGGAATAGATTTAATGTAAGTCGACACCCTTGCCTCATTTATTATACATGGTTCTGTGAATATGTAAATGAGACCCGCCTCCACTCATTCACTCAGCTCAGAGATCAACTCGTTGATGATCACATGTTGATCTGATTGGTTACAAGGTCATTTGTGACATCAGAAACACCAGCGATTTCAAACCGTGTGTTTGAGACTGTCTTTAGTTCACTGGATATTTGAGGAAAAACTACTCAGGACTTATGAATATACACATGGTTTGTCTTAAAGCATTAAAAACACCACATGGACACATAAACAACATTAAAATCTTGATTTTCACCAGCTCTCGTCTCTCCTTTAAAAGTTGTTTTGGTTTTTGTATGATTTGGTGGCAATATTACAAGGATTTTAATATTTTTAAATATTGCAATATTTCATCCAGTTTTTAAATTAATATTAATAATAATAATATGAACTTAACATCAAAGCAAAATTTAATTTGTATTTTCTCAATCAATGAGTAGAAATGTATTTAAATAATTACAATAATCCCCATACGCCCTCATATTACACTGCAATGTAACGAGACACCATAATAGTTTCTTTGCCTGATTTTGTAGCTGTATTGTTGTTCTGGCTCTAATGGATAGAAACCCTTATCAAAGTCTTGTATAAAAGAACTGGGCCCAACTGTGCTCTGAGCCAAAACCTCAATCCCGGCTACTTTTGATCAAAGTCACAGTGATGATGGAGCTGTTGGAGTGACTGGGTGAGCATTGGCTTGTGTTTGATCTGCTGGTGTGACAGGTAAAGGTGCGCTCCCTTTAAGTGCCGTCTGCCAGCATGCATCAACGTCTGCCACTCTTAAGGTTCTCCGCCAGCTTTTGTAGGCACAGGAATATGGTGGTGTCAGCTACTGAGAGAGAGAGAGCATAGATTTTCTCTAAAGAAACACGCCATGTTGTCTTAAAAGTTCAAACTTCATTTTGATTATGGCCACTGAAGTTTGAAGTCTGATTATACAGGGATCGAGATGGTTTGCTGGATAGCACTTTCATCTCTTTTGTTTCTCTTTGTCTCTGTTCTCTTTGTAGCCCACAGTTGTAAACAGCCCGAGAGCCCGGCTCATGTGGATGTTGTGGGCATGGATCTTCCCTCCTATGGTTACACGCTCATCTACACCTGCCAAACCGGCTTCTTTTTGTCTGGAGGGTCTGAGCACCGGGTCTGCCGGTCCGATGGAACCTGGACTGGGAAGATGCCTGTGTGTCGAGGTATCAAACACTTCACATTATCTGCTAGCACACTTAACAGCACAACACAACACTTAACACAGCATGCACCAAGCGTGCCGCACAAGCCCTGAAAAGTGAAGCCGAAACGTCTCAAACTTTTTTTTTTGGATTAGCCCAACCCTAAACCTAATGCACAATTGCGCTGTGCTCACTCTTTTCATTTGTTTTGAGCCTATGCTTTATTTTTCAGTTGCACTTTATTTCATTTCTGCTCTCGTCTTGATCTGGTTTGTTTAATAAATATTATTTTTTATTAAAGTGGGCGTGCCTTTTGTGTTTAAGAGTAAAAGCTTTAAAGTAGTTAACTTTTAAAAAAACTTTTAATAATTTACTCACCCCCATGTCATCCAATATGTCTATGTCTTTCTTTTTTCAGTCGAAAAGAAATTAAGGTTTTTGATGAAAACATTCAAGGATTTTTCTCCATATAATGGACTTCAATGGGAACCAAACGGTTCAAGGTCCAAAAGACAGTTACAGTGCAAACTGCAAACTGTTCAAAGGGCTTTAAACGATTCCAGACGATGAATAAGGGTCTTATCAAGCGAAACTATTGCTCATTTAAAAAATAAATAACAACGTTTAAGTTTTATAAGCACTAATGCTCGCCTTGCTCTGTTCTGTAATGCGCTTTCGTGACTCTCCTGTTCGAACTCGAATGAATCTTTTTTCGTGTCATTTAGTTCATTGAATGAACGAAATGAACAAATTGACTTGGGAAAAGATTCGTTCATTTTGATGAACGAGTTCATACAGGAGAGTCACGAACGCGCACTTCCCGTTGAACTTCCCATTGAAGTCCATTTTATGGAGAAAAATCCTGGAATGTTTTCATCAAAAACCTTAATTTCTTTTCGACTGAAGAAAGAATCTCATGGATATCTTGGATGACATGGGGGTGAGTAAATTATCAGCAAAAGTTTTTTTTTTTAAAAAAGTGAACTACTCCTTTAAGTTAATAGTCTATTTGTGAGCTGAGCTCCTATGTTCAGCCTCGCTCTGTGTAAGTTATTATAACATATGACACAAACAATTATCTAAATTATGTTGCATATTCCTCAACAGTTCTGCTGATATCACTAGTTGACATAGTTCTATTTTCGGAAATCACAGGCTATAATATTGTGCGGTTGCACGTGATGCAAGTGTGTCATTTCAGTGCAAAATAATTCGGTCAAAAAAGATTTAATATACTGCAAATAGCCTACTAGTTTTATGTTTATTTATAATTTATTTAGGCGGACAAGGCTACCAAGTACTGCACTGCTAATTAATCGAACAGAGTTTTTTTTTTCAGCGTTTTTTCTAGGGTTCCCCGTCCATCTTTTCAAAAGTTGAAATTTCAGGACTTTTCAGTCGAGCAAGATTTTCTTTGGTTGATTACAGCCCTATCAGGTATAGCGCTAGAGTGTGGCCGGCGTGCTGCAGTGCTGGGATTAGATCAGGTCTTCCTCCTGCAGCTCAAGAGCGCTGCACAGCTGTACACTTCAGGCTTTCCAGTAATTACTGCACATAAACAGATGTGATTGTCTATAAAAAAAAAAACCCTGAGCTTCTCCAAACTGGGATGAGACCTCATTTTTCTGCGCCTGTCCTAAACATCCTCCTATTGTAAGATCTGTTCGGCTATTCTGCTGCTCGATACGCTGACCGTGACACCTCCTGCTGTCTACGGTCACCTAGTTTTTCTTTGTTAAAGGGAAGAAAAAATATCAATCACACTGTTGCCTGGGGATGTTACTATATGCTTGAAATGATGAAAGTGATGCCAATTTGATCTGTCAATCTTTTCATATATAAGTGCCTTTATTCATTTTTCCTCTTTCTTTCCCAGCGGGCTCCAAACTATCTGAAAAGCCTATTAAAACAGTCCCAGGAACGCCGAGTCCGAAGCTAAATGGTGGGTGCATTTATTCTGAAATGGGATTTTCATTTGAAAGATCCACTTATGAGTGTTAAGCGCACCTTATTTTGGATGAATAATTTTGGCTCCAGCACGAGGGGACTAATGAGGAGAAAACGGTTCCAGTTATTTTGACAGTAAAGTAGACCGGCAGCTGCAACATACTCGACTGGAATCATAAGATAATACTACTGAACTTCGCCAGACGTTCTCAGAGCGTATCACGTCTTATGTTTATATACTTGGAGAGCAGGATTACATTGGAGACAAGTTGGTGTTCTGCAAAGCTTTAGGGATGTAACGATGAGGCTCCTCAAAGCAAGAGCACCTACAGTAAATATGACTTTCTAGACTAGACTCTCTGACAGAAAGGACGAACCGGATATCCAGCACGTATCCAGAAACTGATGGATCTTAGGATCAGTAAGACAGAAAACCCTTTGAGCTTCTGGGTTCTGTTAGATTACAGGACAAGTCTTTGTAAAGACTCATAGCATGTTATCGGAGAACTCCGGCCAGCACATTATTTCTTATCTGGCTCCGTATTAAATATCTTACCTCAATATTTATATGCTGTCTTTATTATGGATAAGTTTGACCTGATCATTTCCTTTGCCTAAGCTGTAAGATATGGGAGGGTGTGCTATATAACCGTATATATATATATATATATATATGAATGTGTGTATATATAATATTTATTTATTTATTATAGATAAAAAGTCTATATTGTGTAGTTCCATTTTATAACAGCAATGGATACTACAAAATATAGCCTTTGTAATTTTACATAGCAATATATTTTTATAAAATATATAAAAATTATTTTTCAAATTTCAATATTATTCAATATTTATATATGAAGAGTTCAGATGCAAAAGCCTCTAAGTGCCATTTGAAATTTTCTTCTTTAATGATGATTTTTATCAAACTTGTATATTTAAGTTCAGTAATTTCACTTAAATTGCAATAATAATTATTTAAGTGAATTACTGAACTTAAATATACAAGTTTGATAAAAATCATCATTAAAGAAGAAAATTTCAAATGGCACTTAGAGGCTTTTGCATCTGAACTCTTCATATAATATACATATGTTTAATAAGATGCGGTTATTACATATAATTTTATAAAAAATACTATGTTTTTCTTTTATATTTTTATTTTCTGACTTGAACATTAGCTAATAATATGTTGCACATTATAGAATGTAATAATTGTTATTTATGTTTTTGATTAGGTAATTCATTTTTTTCTAAAATATTCGTTTGGCAATATAATATAGCAATGATTGTGTTGGTTTCCTGGTAAATGTAAATCAAAAGAGAAATTTCAGGAATTAAAAAATATGCAGATGTGTGTATGTGAGTATCACTGTTTGTATTTCATAATAAATGTCCTTGGATGGAAATTAACATTTTGTTTGTCTTTCGTCTGTTTGTGTGTTTGTTCACAGTTCCTGATGATGTATTTGCTCCTAACTACATCTGGAAGGGCTCGTACAACTACAAGGGAAGAAAGCAACCAATGACTTTGAGTATCACAAGCTTTAATAAAACCACGGGTAGAGTAAATGTCACATTAACAAGCAGCAACATGGAACTACTGCTTTCAGGTTGGTTTACTGTGATATTCTGCAGATTTACTCAACTGACTGAACACATTATAATACACACTGCAAATCAAAGCAAGCAAACATGAAGACAGTGCTCCCACTATCACAGAATCTGATTTAATCCATCAGAGTCAAATTAAAATATTATAAGTATTCAACTTCATATTTTATTTAATTTCAGTTTTATTTCAATGAACAGAAATGTTTTAATTAGATTTAGTTAGTTAACGATAATAACCCTGATTGGAGGGCGTTTTCCAGGTCACAATTAGGTTAATGTTTGTAGCTTGGAAAGTGGGCGGTTTGTTCAGGAGGAGAGATTGTAGACAAAGAGCGGAGTCTTAGATAATGTAGGGCTTGTAAATACTTTTATTTTGTGGTCAGACTAAAAGGAAATGAGAGAGCGTGTTTGGGCTTGTGTGTGTGCAATTCTGAGACAGAGAGAGTGACCGAGACGAGGAGAGAGCAATAAGAGGATGAAATGCATCTCCATGAGTGTATAGACAGCTGTCTGCTCTCTGTTCTCTGTCACAGGTGTGTATAAGAGCCATGAAGCACGTCTGATGCTGCTGGTGTATCATGTGAAAGCGTCCTCATCCACCACACTCAGCAAGATCAAAGAAGAGCAGTGGACCCTGGATGGATTTGTATGTGCAAATGTGTCTTATTATCTTTTTAGGCTGTTTTGTACAGAAGAATATAGTGTTATACACTAAAATGCAGTGATAGACAAAGTACAACAACATCCTGTATCTGAGTTGTAAGCTGAATTTAAAAAAAATAATAATAATAATTGCGACTTTTTATCTCACAATTGCGAGATATGAAGTCAGAATTGTGAGATATGAAGTCAAAATTGCGAGATATAAAGTCGCAATTCTGAGAAATAAAGTCGCAATTGCAAAATATAAAGTTGCAATTATGAGAAATAAAGTTGCAATTGCGAGATATAATGTCACAATTATGAGAAATAAAGTTGCAAATGCAAATATAAAGTATTAATTCTGAAAAATAAAGCCGCAATAGCAAGATATAAAGTCGCAATTATGAGAAATAAAGTTGCAATTGCGAGATATAAAATCGCAATTATGAGAAATAAAGTTGCAATTGCGAGATATAAAATCGCAATTATGAGAAATAAAGTCGTAATTGCAAGATATAAAGTCGCAATTATGAGAAATAAAGTTGCAATTGCAAATATAAAGTATTAATTCTGAGAAATAGTCACAATTGCAAGATATAAAGTCGCAATTATGAGAAATAAAGTTGCAATTGCAAATATAAAGTTAATTCTGAGAAATGAAGTCACAAATGCGAGATATGAAGTCAGAATTGTGAGATATAAAGCGCAATTATAAGAAATAAAGTCGCAATTGCAAATATAAAGTCACAATTATGAGAAATAAAGTTGCAATTGCAAATATAAAGTATTAATTCTGAGAAATAAAGTCGCAATTGCGAGATATAAATTCGGGCCAATTCTAAGGAAAAAAAAAAGACTGACTTTTTCCCCTCAGTATAGTTTATATCTCACAATTCTGACTTTAAAACACACAATTGCAACTTTATATCAATCAATTCTGACTTAAGCTTCCATAAAATACAGATAACATGATGAAATAGTACATCTCTTTCACATTTGAGTAAAATAACTTCTTTCTAAATGTGTGTCACACAAATAAAGCTCGATCTGACTTTTGTTATGTTATTAGGAATGAAAAATTAGGAGTCAAGTTATTAGTTATCTACCGCAATCGTATCAGTTTAATTCACAAAATGAATCATTCAATGTGATTTATGAACCAGTTCAATCATTTGTTTACTGATCAAACTGATTCTCAAAGCGGATGTCGATTTCTTAACTTCAGCATGTTGACAATTTCATTGTCAGATTATCTCCCATATTTATCTTGGCAGTCTGAGTGAGCAGTAGTGATAATATATGGAAAGTAGATTCCCGTTGATCTGTTTGATTGTTGTCTGTCAGGTGTCTGCTGAACCAGACGGCTCAACATACGTCTTTCAAGGCTTTATACAGGGTAAAGACTTCGGCCAGTTTGGCCTGCAAAGGCTAGGTAAGAGATTGTGATGGTTTTTGTTGTTGTTGATTGTTTAAAATATGTTATTTCACTCTGTTTTTGGTGTGAAAATTTGTTTTTAATAAAGGGCTCCTATTATGTTTTTTTACATCTTTAACTTTCCTTTCCTGTTTGAGCATGAAAAAGCTCTGCAAAAGCCCCTCAAATTGGGAGTTATTCTCTATATCAGTTTCAGTGTTTCTGAACTCCCTGAAAAGCCTCCATTGTAGTCTTAAGTTTTCTTTATTCCTCATTTAAATAATTCATACGCAGGATAAAGGGGCGGGGCCTGGTTAAGTTAGTTATGCGCTTTTCCTCTACACAGTACCAGCTCGACTCGACTCGCCTTTGTTTGGTTTTGCACTGTGTAAATGTACTTTTTTTATATCACCTCCGGCGAGGTTCAGAGGCAATACTAAAATGTGACGTAAAAACAATGCCGACTGCTGATTGGTCAGAGAGAATCGTCACCATTCACTGTGTCATCATTGCACGCGCCAGATGGAGTATCCAGAATAACCCTGCCATTTTTAAATAGTTTGGACAGAGATAGTTACTAAAGTACTATTATTATGACAACTCAGAAGAATACGCTGTGGTCAAACGAGGCAGTGCAGACTTTCCTTTGTTTGGTTGCCGAAGAGTACAAATACTTTGTTACTTTACTTAAGTACATTTTTCACGTATCTTTACTTTACTTAAGTAGAACAAATAGCGCATACTTTTTACTTTTACTTCGTTACATTTTGCAGCAATTATTATACTTTCTACTCCACTACATTTCTACAACTTCGGTTACATTTTCATTACATTTTCTGATCAGTTTTTCCCCTGCCAAAACGTAATCTGACCGTCCGTCCGTTGCAAGTTTGTCTCACCAGTGACGTTTGGTCGCCATAGAGCCTCCATTTTTGCACTAAGTCTAAGTCCCATGGCCCTCTATCAGAATCCAGAGTTTCAAGAAGATTGGAGAAACTTATTTTTTCGCACAAAAAAAAAAAAACGACGTCGTTTTTTTTTTGGGGTCGAAATTTTGAGTTTCTCCAATCTTCTTGAAACTCTGGATTCTGATAGAGGGGCATGGGCCTTAGACCTGAGTGCAAAAATGGAGGCTCTAGATATATCAACCCGGTCACACTAAATGCGTCTCCCATGCAGTGCGTTTATAGTGCAATTTATGAGCGAAAATTAATTTTTACATGCATAGGAAACGCACCGTGTGTAATATACGTTTGGTTAGGATTATGGCAAGCCAAGAGGTTCAGAATTACACCATAAATTAATCGCGTTTACTGCCATAGTTATTAACATATAGTAAGGATAAGCATGATGTGTATATTGCCTAATTGCAAGCTTGTTTCAGAAATGGTGACGACAATTTTTTTCCATCATTATTGAACATCATTATAGGAGTATTAGGTTGAATGAGTTAGAATTAAATGTTTTATTAATCATTAGAAAATAGACATTAAGAAAATAAATTATGCAAGTACTTTTACTTTTAATACTTAAAGTACATTTAAAATCAGGTACTTTTTACTTTTTGCTTAAGTATGGTTGTCATTGTGTTACTTCTACTTTTACTAAAGTAAATATTTATCTGGTTATTTGTATTTTTACTTAAGTACTGAGATTTAGTACTTCCTCCACCACTGACTATTTGTGGCGGTAAAAGCGAGTCGAGTCGAGGTGAGCTGCTACCGGTAATGGAAAAGCGCCGTTAGAAGTGTGTTGAAACTGGCGATTTTGGTAAGGGGCGGGACAATTCCCAAACATGCTGAAAGTGCTTGACCAATCACAACTCACCCATACAGCTGACCAATCAGAGCTCATTGAGTTTTCAGAAGGAGGGCCTTCATATGGATAAGGAAGGCTGTGTATCTTCAAGTATGAAATCATATTCTCATAGAGCATTTGTAAAAAGGCATAATAGGTCCTTTTAATGCATCTTTGACATATTTTGCAACATGAAAATTCATAATTCTCAATCTCTTGCAGGTTTGAACATGTCAGAAAGTAATAATTCGTCAAACCCACCACATGGTACAAACAGTAGCTCTGTGGCCATAGCAATCCTTGTGCCTTTTTTCGCCCTGATATTTGCAGGCTTCGGATTTTATCTCTACAAGCAGCGGTGAGTCTCGCGTCTTTTCTCATTTGTCAAAGTTTGTTTGCGGAGTTGTTATTGCTAGACAGATCAGAACGAATTTAGAAATCAGTCTCTGACAAAATCATCATCATTTCCTGCAGGACGGAAAGAAATAGATGGTGACAGATAACGTCTGTAGAGACAGAATTAGCTGGTTTGCAGGTTATTGAATGCGATCATAATTTGATGCTTGCGTGTGCTTCCACTGCAAACTCTCAAAGCGCTTGCAGATTGTTTTCTAATGACGTTTTGATGTTGTGTCTCGTCTGACAGGACTACTCCAAAAACCCAGTACACGGGCTGTTCGGTTCACGAGAACAACAACGGACAGGCCGCCTTCGAGAACCCCATGTACAACACCAACGCGAAGTCCGTGGAAGGCAAAGCCGTCCGGTTCGACCCCAATCTGAACACAGTCTGCACAATGGTATAATTAGATCCGCCTGACGCGATGAGAACATCTGTGGATTTTCTTTTTATTTAAGGGTTTTCGCCTTGTTTTTTTTTAAATGGAGGTGGATACAATCGCATTACAGTCATGGACGGATTTGTCTGAGACTCGCAGAGGATGTCTAGCACAAACACTGTTGCCCTTCCTCTGGGATATAAAGCACACTCTTCAGGAACCGTTTGACCACGCGTGTCCGCCGAGGACATGTATGAAATACGAAACACATTGTCATGGGGGATCTTTTTCTGAAGACTCGCTCTGAAAAGGTTCTTCATGACGGAAAGCATGAAGAGATTCTTCTGCTACCTTATTCACACTCTGTGAGTGCTTCTTCACAGTGGACTGGGTATTTTTTTAGGGGAAAGGGATCTGTAAATCTACTTGCATATATATGAGGAGCATTCACCACCTATATTTTTGTGCTATATAGGGAAACGCCAACAGAGAATATAAAGAGTTTATAAAGAGATTCACATTGACCAACACGTATTCTCTGACGGTTTTGTACGGTACACAACGTTTTATTTACAGCTTATTCAGTCATTCCTTAGGTTTCGGTTCGTGATGTCGCCAGTGATTGGACATTGATGCATTTTGTGATGTGTGATGATGTGTATGGGCAAAACACGAGAGAAAAAGAGGATTTTTTTTTTTGTTATAGATCTTTGATATTCGGTGGGTATGTCTGTTTATAAGCACCCATCTTCAGTATGGGCCGTAGGACACATGTCAGCATTCTGACCTGAAGCCTGCAGATTCATTTCTGGTAACACTTAAAGCCTTTATATAATGCATTGTAGAAGTATTTTTATAATCGTAAGCTGCATTGTATGGTATACATGACAAACCATGGAAACTGCTAATAGTATAATGCATTATAACGTGCATTATGAATACCTTGATAATGCATTAAACATACAGGTTTTAAGGGTTACTGAACTTTTCAGTGCTGAAGTGTCATTGAGCTCCATTTGTATTTGGTAGACAAATTTGATATGATAATTTGGTCATTATAACAACTTGCCATTCTTAATATATACAAATTTGTATAAAATGAAATGCACTTGACATTTATACAGTATACTTTTATATATATATATATATCTCAGATTACATAAAACCAATGCATGTTTCTTATATTGATATATGGTGGCATCATATCTATCGTGTACATAAGGCCCATGAAACTCTTTTCCAGTTATGTCTGACCTTGGTGTGTTAACACCAAACACACCCGTAAACTTTTGGTGACTAAGTAAACCGATGCGGACTTGATTTTAGAAATAAAGTGGGTTTGGTTAACCTTAAAAGTAAAAACGCGAAACACACCTAAGAGATGCGCTAAATGTGTGGTATTTGAGGAAATTACGGTACAAACACAAGCAGGGTCAGACACTATTGGTCATGTGTTTCCAGGCCTGCAAGCTGTGAGATTCATTCCAGTGCCTTCTGAAGTACTCACCACCACATGTTCCTAAACAGGCCATATGAAAGGATATTGAAAATGATTATGTGTCCGTAGAATGAATGAGATATTACAGATATTACAGCTGTTGTGTGTTGCAGACTTCAGGAGGCTATGCTGACATCACTGTCCTGGAGGTCCAAAAACTAACAAACCAACATTTTTTGCATTCATGTTTGCACTCAGCCATAGGGATCTGCAGTCTTGCACGCCATTGACCGATTTATTTTGTTTTATTATTTATCAGGATGGTTGTTTTTTTAATACATGGCAGATTTTTTACACAGTGCCTACCAAAAACCATGTGACCCAGGTCTGCTGCTTCCTCACTTCACTTCTGCCATATTTCTTCCCATTGTTTTAATTCCTCCCTGCCAGTGAAATGTGTGGTTAAGAAGTTTTATCCAACGCCGTGGCCCGTTCCAGACCTTTCGACTTCCTCTGCCAGTCTGAACTTATTTGCCAACAACAGCTTTTGCTATACCTGACTGCAATAAAAGAAAACACACATTTATGATAAAAAAAAGACACTTTTTGATCAAACAGAAGAATATTTGCAGTACAGCTGGGTACTCCTCCCATGATAATGCATTCAAAAGAGATATAAAAAAAAGAGGGTAAAAAAAGAATAAAAAAGTTTTGTAAAGAAATATATTTTTATGAAGAAATTATTTGTAAAATGTATGAAACTATTATGTAAATTTTCAATGCAATGTAAGATTAAAAAGGCTAATTCCTTTTGTAATGAGTGTTTTGTGTTTTCATACTTTCATTCTCGTGGAATTAGACATGGTCTGTAAAGATGAGCCAAAAACAACAGACCAATGATATTGTCATGCTTTAAAACATGTTCTCCTAATATTATTCAAATCCATCAGATCCTTCTCAAAATCTCAGTGTGAACATTGTTCAGCAAACAACATGACTGATTAAGATTTCACAATTAAACATTGCTGTTTACCCCCTGCGTAAATGTCACACTTGTTGTCTTCAGGAACATTTGTGTTGCTGTGCAACCACTTGATTGACACCTTCCTTCACACTCTGACGCATTGAGTGCAGGGGTTTTTGAAGCTGCAGAAGTCCCTGTGGGGTGGACCAATCTCATTTCCCCTTTGACACCGTCTTAATTGCAGTAGCGGTCCACAAATGAATAAACTCTGCCCATGACATCCATCAAGTCACAATGGCTGCATGGGAAATCCAATACTCTACTTATTTTGAAGTACTTTGTGACCGCTAAAAGAGTATGTTCAATTGTGTGTTGTATGAATATACATTCACCATGTTGTTCTTATCACACAGCATCAGTTGTCGCATCACTGCCATTCACAAATCCTCTTAAGTGTCCATCATATACAGACTTCTCACCTGAAGTAGAGGTCATCCGGGTACTTTTGAGTACTTTGAATTTGGACATCCTTCTTTTGTCATACTGTTTTTCGCCTACTATAGACCTTATGCACCAGAGAAACGTGGGTGCAGTCATCTTTAGAATATTGTCTTAAATCATTGTCTTGATTTACTATTGTAGAGTTAACAAAAGTTATCATGAGCATTAATGTTTATCATAAGCATTGTAAAGCAGATGTCTTAACAAATGTTGACCGGGAATTTTTTTTATGAGCTGTTCATTCACCTCATGCAAGATCGCTGTGAAAAACAGACCGGAAGTCAAAAACGAGCGCAACGCTGAAAAGGGGCGGGGCTGAAGTGTGTGAGTGAGACAGCCAGTGCAGAGTTCATTTAAGACTCGGGAAAATCATACTAACAAGGAAGAAGATACTCAGATTTTTGCAGTGGCCAATGAAAGTGTAAATATATGACCTGGATGCTGCCATCTTTGCTTCCTGGACACTTGATTTCATAACTTTTTTTGAGCATGAATGCTGTGTGCAACAATCTAGGGCTGTCAAACGATTAATTACGATTAATCGCATCAAAAATAAAAGTTTGTGTTTACATAATATGTGTGGGTGCACTGTGTTTAATTATTTTGTATGTGAGTGTGTGTGTACATATATATATGTGTACACACACATGCATGTATATTTAAGAAAAAATATTATATATAAAATATTTAGGCTATATTTATAAATTATATATAAATCTATACAGTATATACAAGCATGTGTGTGTATTTATATATATAAAATAATTATACACAGTGCACCCACATATATTATGTAAACACAAACTTTTATTTTGGATGCGATTAATCGCGATTAATCTATATTTATTTAGAAAATGGACAGTGTAATAAACATTCTTACATAATGCACCCAAATTAGCCCGAAGGCTAGTTTTCATTGCTAGTCCCTTTGCCAGATGTTATTAGCGTCTAAACTAGAAAAAAAAGAGTTAAACATTACAGCAATACAACAGTCACAGAACTAAAAGTATACAAAAAGACAATATATGGTAACACTTTATGGTAAGGGTACATGAATTATCATGAATTCATGTATAAATTAATGCATGAATTGCATTCATTCATGCATTATTTCTCATGAATCATCAGGAACTAACACAAGTTCAACGTTTTTCATTCATGACTTCATAAATGAACAACACCTTAATTAAAACATTAACTAAGATATGCACATCACCATGAATTATTATTATTATCATTTGTATTACGCATAATGTTTTCTTTGTTCTTTGTCTAGGTCAGTGACCTCTTGTCACCTCTTGTAATTCTGTTTTCAACAGATTTAGATTTAATAAAATCTGCCAAAGGAGGTGGAGCCAAATGCATAATCCTATAAACTAAACAAACATTTTTAAATTTGATTAGATTTTCCCAGTTAAACAGGTTATACTTATTTAAAATGTGACAGTGATGAAAACTGAATTGTTTTTTTATCTAAAATTTTTAGTGCTTGTTTGTATAGTGATTCTAATGGTTTCAGTACAATCAAATGTGTATTTGACCAGCTTGTCAAACAATATGTGACATGAGAAAGTATAATAGAATGGAAATATATCTTTGCTGCCTGATTTGATAAACAATTTCTAATAAACCTAAAATTAACCAAGTTAAATTTAATCTTTTTGCAAACTTTTTTTACGTGAGTTTTAAAACCAAGATAGGAGTCCAGATGTACCCCTAGATATTTACATTGTGAAACAACTTGTACTCTTTCTCCTGTAAAAATAAAAATGTCCTATTTTTTATCAGACCTATGTCCTTTAGATAAGAACATACAAACAGTTTTTGCCACATTTAACCTCAGAGAATTCTGATTAAGCCAGGATGTAACTTTTACCATAACGTCTGTCAACTTTTTTGCAATCTCTTCTGCATTTTTGCAATGTGTAAAAATGACTGTATCGTCAGCATACATTAAGATATCACATTGTTCACACTCCTTGGGTAAATCATTAATATACATGCTAAAGAGTATTGGGCCCAGTATGGACCCTTGTGGAACACCAGTTGATAGACCTAATAAATTGATAAATTTAAAATGATCAATTTTTACTAATTGAGAACGGGAAGAAAGGTAAAATTTGATTAAATTTACAAACTGTATAGAAAAGTTAAAATCATACAGTTTTTTCAAAAGACTATTATGGTTTAGAGTATCAAATGCTTTCTGTAAATCAAGAAATACAGCCCCCACCATTCCACCTTTATCCATTAATGCTTTTACCTTTTCTGTAAAGTAACATATTGCGATATGCCCTAAAACCAAATTGCATCGGATGTAATTGGAAGGAACTATTATTAAGATGATCAATAATTTGTTTGGCCACTAGTTTTTCAAAAACCTTTGAAATTGTAGGTAGGACACTGATGGGCCATTACAAGGTAAGCAAGCTTGAACAATCGCTTGAAAGCCTTAATTTTATCAGACTACACAGCTACTTTCGAATGGCAGCCAATTGAAAAACACATGCTGAACTGAAGCTAACCAATCAAATCACCCTCTTGGGCAGGGGTGAGGAACATTGATCCTGGAGGGCCACTGTCCTGCAGAGTTTAGCTCCAACCCTAATCAAACACACCTGAAGCTAATCAAGGTCTTCAGGATTACTAAAGTTACAGGCAGCTGAATGTTTTTTTCAGGGTTGGGGCTAAACTCTGCAGGACAGTGGCCTTCCAGGATCAACGTTCCCCACCCGTGCTCTAGGGTGAGTGCCAATATAAATTTTATTTGTCAAGTCAACCAAAGTCATGCAAATCCGTCTTTAAGGTTTTAAATGTCTAAAATGGAATTGCATGTGTGTTTAATCAAAATGAAACAAATCATATTGTGTTGAATATGATTTGCATTGTGGGTCTAAAAGTTAAGCTATACTTGTTTGTGTATGTCAATTCAAATGATGATTATGTTCCCCTGTGTTTGAGTGGAAATGCACTCTTTTGTTTGTACAATATTATTGTATGTATAGAGAGAGAGAGAAAAACACATGAATCAAGTTAAGATCATGGAATATATATATTGCCCTGCTGTCTGAAAGGAAGATGAAAGAGAATAGATGAAACAAACTCATCCTCTGTTCTTGAAAGTGTACATTCCTGACAGACCTTGAGATACTGAAACTTATGCAGGGATGAATGTACGGCCCGTTCCAGTTTGGCAAGAATTCAAACAAGGTGAAACACTGATGAGGAGGAGCAAGCCAAAGAATTGCACATTCATCATCAAGTTTTTATGATTATTATTATTACAACAAGTGTTGACAAAAATGATTAACAATGTACTAATAATATTTCTTGAAGAAGAAAAATGTGTATTTTTTTTACTCACCTAAACGCATTCAGATTCAGCACATAAACATCAAATCCATTCCAATTTCCAAGTATCTATTATTTAAGTATCACATTGCATTAAAACATGCCTAAACATAAAGCCTACAGGGTAACACTTTACTTGAAGGGGTGTGCATAAGACTAACATGACACCTTCATAACCATGACATGTTTTTTCCATTAAGTGATTTTTTTTTTGTCATTAAGTGTCATTCGCTCAATTATGACATTTTTAATGCAAATATGACATTGTTTAAGATGTCTTTGTTATGACAACTTGACATAAACCAATACATTATAACCTGTCAGTGTCTTTGTCATGACAACTTGACATTATTAAGACAACACAACCTGTCATAAACATGACATAGCAGATTAATTATCAAACTTAAGAAACCACCTAGCTTTATTGGTTAACATTACATTAAACTGTCAGGTGGTTGGTTTTGACATTAGCTTTTTAATGACTTTTTAATGACAAATTCAATTAGTACCACTGTAGTTGAGGTCACGAAAAATATTCATGACACAGTTATAATGGGCTCATGACAGCCAGTGTCAAAGCCAACCACATGACAGTTTAACTTTATTTAATGTCAAGTTGTCATATGACAAAGACACTGACAGGTTATGATGTTATGGTTTGTCATTATGTCATAACAAAGACATCTTAAACAATGTCATATTTGCATTCAAAATGTCATATTGAGAGAAAGACTTAATGACAGTTGTCATAAACATGCATAAACCCTAGTTCATATTCAAGATATGTCATGGTTATGTAGGTGTCAGTCTTATGCACACCCCTTCAAGTAAATTTTTACCAAATACAGTTTTCACATGTTGTTTTTGTAGTAAATTTGTGTAACTTAAAACAACAATGTGTAATTCTGCTTCTCTGTTTTCATCAGCCAAAATATATATTGTCGACTAAATAGCATTTTTAGTCAGTCAAAGTGACAAACATTAATGTGAAATTAAGACTT